GGCCTGAAACTATCTTTGTAGACTAGGCTGGCCTCTAGCTTACAGAGATCTGCCTGCCTCTGCCTCCCAATTACTGGGATTAAAAGCATGTACCACCCATGTCTGGAAATTTATTTACTTTTATTTATGTGTATGTGTGAGCGCTATGTGTGTATATGTGTACCATGTATTTGCCAGTCGGAGGCCAGAGAGTTGGATCCCTTAGAATTGGGGTTACAAGGGGTTGTGAGCCATCTGATATAGGTGCTAGGAACCAAATCTAGATCCTCTGCTAACAAAGACTATGGGGATCCTGCCCCTGGATAGCCCTCTCCCAGTGTCCGGGAAGAATCTCCAACCAGCTGATAATTTAATCTTTGACAATATGAAATGAATCTACATACACGATACTCTTTAGTCCATACACTTTATTCTTCTGAGTCCGTTCTCTCTCTACACAGCGCCTATTCTGCTGTCATGCTTAGCTCCTTTCTTACCTGACTTCTCTCTACATTTATCTACTGTCCCCTCTAAGTTCTATCTTAATCCCTTCATCTAGTTCTGTCTCTTATAGGTTCTCATCTATCTAGTTCTTTCCCCTATCAGCTCCTCTCCCGTCTCCTTCTCTCTCATCTGGCTCTTCCTCATCTTGTTCTTCCCCATCTGTTTCTTCCTCATCTTCCATCTCGTTCCTCTAGTCCTCTCTTTTAGCCCTTCAATCTAGTTCTTCCCCACTCAGTTCGTTCCTCTCCAGTTCTTACCCATCTAGTTCTTCCATTCTCTTTTCTCTTCTCCATCTAGTTCCTCTCTGAAAATAAAACTGCCCTTTTATCCTTTTGACCCTTATCTCTCCAAGCTATCTCTGCTCTCGCCATTTCTGGCAAGTGTGCTCGGTCGCTAGGCAACTTGACTAGGCAACTTCTGTAATAGCTAGATGTACCTGTAAGTTGGAACACTTTAGTTCTGAGTTAATTGTTAAAGGTAGATCTAAAACTAGAGGTAAGAATTTAGTAAGGGAGAAAGTTAAGCTTAATTAGCACATCTGCCAGGCCTTCTGAAACAGACAGTCTGGATGCTTAAGTCTGTTCTTAGAAAGTGTAGAGGTATCTCCGATAAGATACTTTTGTCCATCCAGGGATGGTACTAGCCGGATGCTGCTAATTATGATAATGACAGAAAGGCCTAAAATTAGGGATCCTGGCTGCGTTACTGCACAGAAAATTATCTAAATATTCCTTTAGTAGAGGGGAAATAGTGCCCAATAGATGATGGAAAAGCTACAATAGCACATGAGAAATTCATAGTAGGAAACAGCTATTAATCAAAAGCCAACATCACCAAGACTCCTTGAGCCTTAGCTTGACCCCTAGAAGGCCCTTGGCTTCCTTCTTTCAGGTATTAGCTTTGTCATAATCAGCTGAAATCCTACTTCATATATTTGTTACAGCTTGTAGCACTCTGCAAGAGCAGCCAATACTCATAACCGCCGAGCCGTCTCTCCAGCCCATCGTGTGCTCATTTCGGCCTCAAGGTTCTGTGTGGAGGAGTGGCTGAGCAAAGCTCGCTTCTGAACTTACATGTCGCCCAGCTGAACTTGCCACAGCCTTCAGAGAACTAAGACTACAGGTATCCACTACCACATTTTGCTTTTTTTCCCCTTCTTGAGACAGAGTTTTACACTATAGCCTAGGCTGGCCTAGAACTTAACTGTGCAGCTCAGGATGGCCTTGAATTTGTAGTAATCCTCCTGCCTTGGCCTGCTGGGTACTACTAGAATTACATGTTTTAGCCACCATGCCCAGCTCTTTCTAGCTCTTTAAAGATGTGAAAGGGCCAGTGATAGCTCAGTAGTTGTGGGCATTTGCTACCAGGCCCGATGACCTCAGTTCAATCCCTAGAACCTACATGATAGAAGAGAACCGACTCCCACAAGTTATTCTTTGGCACCTACACCTCTATCCACCTATACATGAAAATGACAAAATAACTATATATAATTTTTAAAGATTAAATATGAATTAGAGAATTCAGAGCTTTAATTCTTACCATGACCCAGACATGAAGGGAGATGCTGAGAGCGAGGTACACAGCAGTCAGAATGATGGTCCCTTTGAACTTATGGAATAGGAGGTTGACCAGGCCAGCCTGGAAGACGAAGGTGTTGAAGAACATGAGGAAAATTATGATGATGTTGAAGAGGATTGCAATATCCTGGATGCTGTAGACACATAAAACAAAGTAGAGCCAAGGGGGGTTATGTGAGGACTTAAGAGATAGCCCTAAGGTCTAAGGGACACCATGAGATCTGCTTTTCTCTGTAATATAGTCACCCCAAATCCCCAGACAGCACAGACTTCTAAACACACTAATGACTTTAAAACTGCTCAACTGTGACTATCAAGAGCCTTCAAACTGTTTGGATTCAGTGTTTCAGGCCTGTCCCCTATACTCACATGAAGAGCACCAGCTGGATGACAGGAGCCATTCGGAGTAGCTCTGAGAAGGAGTTAACAAACAGGTCATAGGACAGCAGCAGGAACTGCAGGGAGAGCACCAGGCTGTAGTTGCTGGTTTGGAGCATCTTCTCTCTGCCTTTTGGAACTCCCGGGTGCACATTCCACAGTTCTGGTTCTCTGCCGGGTACTTGGGGGGAGATGCCTAGTTTTTCCAAATCAGAGCTGTTTCCCAGGCTCTAAAGCAAGGACCTGTTTGTAGGGGGAAAGAATCAAGAAAGGAAGGAAGGAAGGACAAGGAAGGCAATATTAGAAGCCTAGCAATCAACATTTAGTGAGTGTCAGTATGCAAAACACCAAGAAGACAAAAACCCAACTAAAGCCAGGTATGGTGGCACACACATGTAATCACAATATTCAGGAGCCAGAAACAGGAGGATTGAGAGTTTGAGGCCAGCCTGGGTTAGGAGAGCCAAGCCTCTTCTCCAAACAAAACAAGACAAAACCAAACCAAGCCCATCCCGACTCTGCCCCACTGCACCTCAACTTGTCATTCTTTCTAGAGACTAATAACATCAGACTTTTCTCCATGCCTGGATCCTTTTAAACGCATAGCTCTTTTCTCTTTCCTTTCTTTCTTTCTTCCTCCCTTCCTTTTAACCAGATCTTGCCATGTAGACCCAGCTGGTCTTGTTCTTGATCCTCCTGCCTCAGCTTCCTGGGTGCTTGTTTTACAGGAGTGCACCACCATTCCTAACAAAGGCACAAGTCTAACCAATAATATTTAGGGGAACTACAGAGAAGTGGCAGCCTGGTCACGCAGTAGTCACAGTAGTAATAAATCCTTATATGCAGTACTCTAAGGACTGTTCCCATCACAACTATTATTTAAATCTTACAATAACCACATAAGGTAGAAGATACTTTTATTTTCCCCAATTCATAGATGAGAAAACTGAGGCCAGGCAAGGTAAACTAATTTGACCAACGTGGTATTCTGATGGAGGCACAGCCGTACATTCTGATGGACGGCCAGCCTATTTCATAACTGATAAGAGCAATATCTAAGTAGGTGGAGGATACGGTCTCATAGCAATGGGCAGTGTCAGAGAGAAAGCTGAGAGGACACAGTGCTTTCCTAGAAGAGCTTATTAAGGTTATGACACAAACAGAAGCATGTGTAAGGGAGCATATTTATAACCTTACTTAATCCCTGGACCTGAAAAGCAGGCATTTTAGTGTATATAACCCCCGTTTTGCAGAGGTTCGGAGGGGGTCCAGGCCCTGTCCACCTCCCGCGGTGGAGAAGCTCCATATTATTGGATATATGAATGTAGCTTCTCTGGGCTTGAGTTTTCACACTTATAATCTCTCTCCTAGGTACCTGCGCCAGGATAATCTTGTTGACCAAGAGAATTTTCTTTAATCCTCACAACAATCTGCATGGTAGGAAAGAATTGTCCCCTGGCTATAGGCAGGGGCACACGATTAGAGTTCAAGTCATTTTCTCCAGATCGCAAATGAGTAGGAGGGCCAAACGCACCATTTCGCGAGGCTCCATGGAGGGTCACTGTGAGCATCCCTTAGATAGAAACACCCCTCGCTCTGGCTACGCGCACGATCACCCTCACCCTCCAGTTTAACGCGGTTTTCCTTACCCTTCCCAATCCTCCTGCAGACCGTGATGCCTCGGCCAAAAGCTCACAGCAATAGCAACAAAAAAATCCTGACTCCCGGCCACTCTCGGCTCATCTTCTACACTCACCTCAAAGAACCAACGTCGGTTGTCATGGGGACTGGGTCTCTGCTTCCGGAAGCCGGCTTTAAATTCCGGAAGTAGATGGCTAATTGACCGTCATGTTTGGGCCTTCGCGCTCCTGGGCCTGCCCTCGGCCGGTTCCTCCCATCCCACCTCGCTGGGGGTGGGCCCCAGGCGAGAGGGTGTGAAGCCCAGCATTTCTCCTTCCTCAGGATGGGGGTGGGGTTAGAGACAAGGCAAACAGGACCCAGTGCTCCTAGGACTCCGGCCAGAAACGGCCCTGGAAACGCGCCCCTTAGCCCGCAAACTTCATTTCCCAGACGCCCTAGCGAACCATCAGACATGCCCGAGCCTATAAAAGCTCAGGCAGCGCCCTCTGTAGCGAATCCCGCGGACTGCAGGCTGGACGGAAAGTGAGTGTTTCCACGTCCTGGAGGAAGGAGCCTGGGGAGTGGCAGCTCCCGCGCTGGGCAGCCACCGCGGGTCGCAGAGACCTGGCTCCGAGTTCTCGCACTGTGTAGTTAGGGGTGAGGAAGAGCCCGGGCCGGGAGAGCCCGGACATGGGTTCTAGTGGTGGTTCCGCTGCTTCCCTGCTTCGCGCTGTCATAACCCGGCATTCAGCCTGCTTTTCCTTTTAAGAATTGGACACTTTTCCGTTCCCCTTCCGTACTGCAGGTGGTGTTGGGAGAGGCTTCGACGCTTTTCAGGAAGAAGGCATCTTATCTAAAACTTGCTAGGACCAAGCTGACCATAGGGGTCAGCGTCATACTCCTTATGTCTTAATAGATCTGACTGTCCGAAGGACGAAGGAGCAGCCCGTGAGCACTTGTGCTAAAGTGGACTTTATTCACACTCCTGAGTTGAATATTATAGGTCGCTCACTCTCGAGTCCTGCAATTTGGAGGAGCTGCCTTTGGAAATGAGTTCTGGGAACTGAGGACAGGACCTGGATGCCTGTATCAGGCTTACCTCTTGCCTTGACCAAATCTCTGTCCTTTGGATCCCAACTTCGCAGTGCTTTTGAATTGTAAGATATGGGTTAATAGGATTTGAACTTTAAATCTAGTTTCCAGGATTCTTAATGTTCCTCTGCCTTTGAGGAGAGAGCAGCAAACTCTGCCCCTTGGTCTGAAAATAACTGTATTAGGAGTACAGCCTTTTCCTGAGAGGAAGGGCTGAGTGGAAGATTCCTTTCTTACCCCTGGGACTGATTCCGGTTTAGCTCAGCCTATGAAAATCCTTTAGCCAGATACTTGAGGAAAACATTACATAGAGATGGAGATTAGGTACACTTCTTAAACCAGGATAGGCCCACAGATAACCCCGAGTGGCTTTTCCACATCTAAACTATTGGGGGTGGGGGACTGTATTCTGTGAAATGTGAAAATCGTCTGAAACTTAGACATCAGTATCTATAAAGTGTTAATGAGGCACAGTCATGTTCATTTGTGAGGATACTCTTCTTGGCTGCTCTGGTGTTACACAATGACATAATTGTGGCAGAGACTTTATAAGCCCTCTAAAGCCTAAAGAGTTTGCTGGCTGCCTCCTGAGGATGGGGCTTGGCAGAGTGAGGGCGGGAGACTCAGCTGTGGTGAGCATGTCTTGAAATCTTAGTCCAAACTTCTCTCTTAGTACAAATGCTCTTAGTCTCAGCATTTACATGTGTTCTTTCCCTTGCTGTTGCTATTTTAGGAAAGAGAGGGCTTACTTGTCAACTGTAGACAGCAATATAACTTTCCTGCCTTCTGTCACAAAACTGTCTCAATCATCTGTTCTAAGTCTGCTACAAAGTGGTAATCCAGAACTTGTCAAGGGATGCAGTCCCTTTTTAAATTTTTTTTGCTTTCTCTTTTTCTTTTTCTCCTCAAATATTTTGGTGTGTGTGTGTGTGTGTGTGTGTGTGTGTGTGTGTGTGTGTGTGTGTGTGAATGTCACATGTGTGTAGGTGCCTGGGGAGTCTAGAAGTAGGTGTTTGGTCCCTTGGAGCTGTGGATGCTGGGAACTCAACTCTGGTGCTCTACAAAACCTATATCCACTCTTAACTACTGAGCCTTCTCTTCTTATGCCCACCCCTGCCTTGTTTGTTTGTTTTTTGTTTTTTTGGAGCTAGGTTCTTATATAGCCTAGACTAGCCTCAACTATATATATGTAGCTGAAGATGACCTAGAACTTCTGGTTCTTCTGCTTTCTACCTCTGTTTTTCTGTTATTCCCAGTTTTAACTTTCCGTATAGAAGATATGTGGAGTTTATTACAAGGTAAAGCAGGGGCACCTTCAAGGGATGAAGTAAACAGTGTAAAGAAAAAACATTTTTTAGAACACATTCTCAAGGGGTGAGAGTGGACAATGGCTAGGGGGACCATTGTCTCCTTTTATCTTTTGTAAAAAAAATCAGTAAACTGCAGAAATCAATATTGTCAGATGTCTGGAGCATTTCACGGGAAGAGTGGAGGTTGTGCTAGGCAGACACTTGATAATACAAACCTCTTTTGCTCTTGCATGAATCAAGGAAGCAGCTCTGAGGCTGGGGAACAAATCCCTGGACCCAGTAGCTCAGTCACGAAGCTTGTTTGTTCCTTAGCCCTTATCCCTTTCTCAGAGATTGCTAGTGAGAGACCAGCAGCAAGGCCACTGAGAGGCCCGGGCAGGTCTGGGGACCATGAGCTTCAGGGTTTTGTTTGTTTGTTGGGGGAGCTTGTCCTCACTATGTTGCTCAGGCTAGCGTTGAACTCCTGTACTCAAATGGTCCTCCTCATTCAGCCTCTCAAGTGGCTAGTGGCACAGCTGCCACCTTGCCTAGCTAGCTTTAAGTTTTGTTAGTGGTTAGGATAAAAATCCTGTGATAGGGACTGGAGAGATGGCTCTGTGGTTAAGAATGCTTGCTGCTCTTGCATAGGACCTGAATTTTGTTTCTAGCACCCAAGTTGGTGGGTCCACAACTGACTGTAACTCTTAACTCCAGAGAACCCAACACCCTTTTCCTGGCTTTCTGACTTCTATGGATGCCCGGACATACACATCATATAGCATTCTCTCTCTGTCTCTGTCTCTCTCTATAAATCCTATGATAGTAATAAATGTCAAGTTATAATACTTGACTCTCAATAAGGGCCTTACATTTTTTTTTGTCTTGATCTTATAACCTATGGATAAGGAAAAAGGGTTTGAAGCTCCTGTGGACTTGCCGGGTCCTGGTGCTAGATACTTAGTATGTCTGGGCTTTAGTTCTTCATGTATAGGGTTGGGATGATAGTCCTCACAGGGTTATCAAGAGGAGTAAGTGGGACCGTGGGCCAGTTTCTGGTGCTCGTAGCTGGTGTTCAATTACTGGTTTTTATTGCCATGCTTTTCTTTTAGGGTGTTTTCCTCAGGGTACTCAGACAGTGAAATCAGAGATCAGGCAGCCTTCCGCTGGGTCGAAGGGTGAGGATTTGGGTATTGTCCCACCTTGGGCATTGTTGACTGTTCTTTCTGTTACATGGTCCAGAGAGATGGCCTTCAATACCATAAGGCCACATTATTGCCTTCTTGGTGTGAGCCCTGGAGATAGACTGGGTCATATATTTACTGGAAGCAGGGCTGAGCCCTGTGTCTTTGCTCACTTGCCTGGCTCTTTTTTTTTTTTTTTAAGGGTATATTTGGCACTGGGAATCTATCTCATGACTTGCTTATGCTAAACAAGCCCCTATCACTGAGCTACGAATATAGCCCCTTGCCTGGTTTTTTTTGTTTTTTTTTTTTTTAGATCTGCATTTTATTTTATTTTTTATTTTATTTATTTTTAAGATTTATTTATTTATTATGTATACAGAAGAGGGTGCCAGATCTCATTACAGGTGGCTGTGAGCCACCATGTGGTTGCTGGGAATTGAACTCAGGGCCTCTGGAAGAGCAGTTGGTGCTCTTAATCTCTGAGCCATCTCTCCAGCCCCCCTTGCCTGGTTTTTAAGAATAACTGCTTGTGACATAAATATTCACCAGAGAAAGCCTGAAAGCTGAGTTGGTTCCCGGTAGAAATCTAAAAATAATTAATTTCTAGACCATGAGTTCTTGCTTCCTCTTTTCTCCTCTGGACTTTCCCCTGAAAAGAGAAAGCAGAAGTAAGTCTCAGGTGTAGAACAGCCAAGGGGTGCCCTCAGTTCAAGGAGAGGAGTGGAGGGTTCTAGGTCGAGGCCTGGCCCCATGGAGTTCATCTTCTGTAAGGAAGACCTTTTTATACAGAAGTGGAAACATGTAGAGCCTTTTCACAGGTGACATAATGCTAGGGATTGAGCATCCCTAGCTAAAAGTCTGGCAGATTCTGAAACTTAAAACTTTTTTTTTGAGCCAGGTGATGGTGGTGCATGCCTTTAATCCCAGCACTTGGGAGGCAGAAGCAGGCGGATCTCTGAGTTTGAGGCCAGCCTGGTATACAGAGCAAGTTCCAGGACAGCCAGGGCTACACAGAGAAACCCTGTCCTGAAAAAAAAATTAAATATATATATATATATATATATATATATATATATATATATATGTGTGTGTGTGTGTGTGTGTGTGTGTGTGTGTGTGTGTGTGTGTGTGTGTTTTGCCTGCATATATGATGTTGTGTACCACATGCATGTCTGTCCATAGAAACTAGAAGAAGGCATTAGATCCCCTGGAACTGGAGTTACAGATTGTTCGGAGCCACCATGTGGGTGCTGGGAATTGAACCTGGGTCTATAAGAGCAGCCAGGGATCTTATCTCCTGAGCCACTTCTGCAGCCCCCACACCCAGCCATTTTGTTGAAGATGTACCCACCCTTGAATGTGTTTCCTTCCATTAGATTGTGGTTTTGCTGCCTTATGTTGGAACCCAGGGCCTGGGAATTTGTGATCTAGGCATTTAGGGTTTCGATTTGTGTCTCTTGTGGCAGTCATTTTTCACCTTCTAGTTCTGTGTGGGGAGGCCAATCAGTACCAAGGATGTGGCCCAGAGCCTTGTCATATCACCAGAGCCCCATACTTGGTCTGTGCACCCCAGGTGCAGGGCTGGGGCATCACCCATTGTGAGCTTACCTCAACATTGAGACCACCTGGGGACAGGGGAACTGAAGCGAAAGATTCCGTACCACAGGCAGAAAGGGAGGTCAGTGTTACTTCCTTTAGCTGTTGTGTGGGTTCACCATGGTTAGCCAGGACATGTGACTTCTGCTTCTTCTAGGAGTTGTTGATCAGAATGGCTTCAGGACGGTTTTACCTGTCCTGCATGCTGCTGGGGTCCCTGGGATCACTGTGCATCCTCTTCACCACCTACTGGATGCAGTACTGGCGTGGCGGCTTTGCCTGGGATGGCAGTGTGCACATGTTCAACTGGCACCCAGTGCTCATGGTCTCTGGCATGGTGGTACTCTATGGAGCTGGTGAGTAATGTGTTCACAGTGTGAGGGGCATGAGAGAGCCGAGGCCTGAGCAGGGTAGCACTTACCCTATTCAAGGATGGTATTTTGGGGGGTTGAGTTGAGGCTATCATGGCAGGGTGTTTTGGGTTGTTCCTCGGACCAGCTATCATTAGGGGGAAGAAGTGGAAAGTGGAGGGACAGCTTCACAGATGCTCAGAGACAGGGTCAGCAAAGCTTTCTGTAAAGGACCAGCCATAATTTTTTCAGGCTTTGTAATATGCATTGCAGTTACTCAGCTCTGCCATTGTATCATGGGAACAGCCATGAAAAGCACATAAAACACACGAGTGTAACTGTGTCCCAGTAAACAGTTCTTCCCAGAATTAGGCAGCAGGCTGGATTTGGCCTGGTGCTGCAGTTCGGCTCCTGCTCTAGAGAACAAGAAGTTGAAGCCTCTTGTGTTACAGTTGAGTCCAGGATCCATCTTTGCCCCATGCATTTGGATCTGTGTCTTGTAACATGGGAAATGAACCCAGTTGTAGGATGGGAATGATAATAGCATTGGCAAAGCTGCTTACCATGTATATGTCATACATTATCCTCCCTGGTTCTTGACTTCTTCTTAGGATGTGTATGTAGTGTGCATATGCATGTGCACATGTGTGTATGTGCATGGAGGCTATAGGACAAACTTGAGTATCAACCATTATTAAGCACCTTTACATTTTTCTTTTTCTGTTTTTAATTTTTTTTTTCAATTTTTTTTAAGACAGGTCTCACTATGTAGCCCTGGCTGTCCTTGACACACTATGTAGACCAGGTTGGCCTTGAACTCACAGAGATTTACCTGCTTCTGTCTCCCAAGTGCTAGGATTAAAGGCATGTACCATTATGCCCTATCCTAAATTCTTTTCTATATTATTTATTGGTGGTGTGGTGGTGTCTGTGTGTGTGAATGTGGGCACAGGCATGCCATGCATGCATGTGGAAGTCACAGGACAGCTTTTAGGAGTCCGTTCTCTCTTTTCACTGTGGGTTCTAAGGATCAGCCTGAAGGTATTAGGCTTATGTGGCAAGTGCTTTACCTGCTGAGCTATCTTGTTTTCTGAGACAGGCCTCTTCACTGGCCTGGAACTGTTGATTAGGCTAGGCTGGCAGAGGCTTCCTGCCTCCGCTCCCCCAGTGCTGGCATCACAAGTGTGTGCTGCCCTGCCCAGATGTTTATGTGGGGTCCGGGTATTGGACTCGGGTCCTCATGTTCATGCAGCAAGCACTTTGCCCACTCAGCCATCCCTCATCTCCATACCCGCCTTTCTTCTTTTTGAGACAAGGTCTTCCTGTCCAGCCAGCCTGGCTTTGGCCTGCGTAGCCGCCCTTCTGTCCAGCCTCCCGAGGGCTGGGATTCCGGGCATGCACTACCATGTTGGCTTTTTCCATTTTGTCCTTTTTTCCCCCCGAGACAGGGTTTATCTGTGTCACAGTTCTGGCTGCTCTGTAACTCTCTCTGTAGCCCAGGCTGGCCTAAAACTCACAGAGATCCTCCTGCCTCTGCCTCCCAGGTGCTGGGATTAAAGGTGTGTGCCACCACCGCCAAACATCCACTTTGTTCTTAGAGCAAGTTCGTGAGGTGGGCTCTGTAGTCATCTCCATTTTACAGAAGAGGAAGGAAACGGACTTAGAAAGAAGCCAAACACTTAAGAAGCTAGGTTTGGACCTCTATGCCCAAGCTCTTTAGATTTTTACTTTTGCTTTTTGTGGTGTTGGGAGTGGAACTGAACCCAGGGCTCTGCACATGATAGGCAGGTGCTTAGATGCACCGTCAGCCTTCATGGGTTCTTTTCCTTTTTTCCCCTAAGACAGGGAGATCTGCCTGCCTCTGCCTCCTAAGTGCTGGGATTAAAGGCTTGTGCCAGCACCACCTGGCTATGCCTAGATTCGTACGTAATCAGCCTTGCCTGTATGGATGCAGTGTGATGAGACCATGGAGAGACAGTGCTTATCAGCCCACAAAGCTGCATTCAGGATTGAGACTACTCCCATGTTAACCGGCCCTTCTTGTCTTAGTTCCTGGCCAACTGCCTCCCACAAATAATGGGAAGGTGACAGGTGCTGAGCAGTCTTAGTTAGGGTTTCTATTACTGTGATAAAACAGCATGACCAAAAGCAACTTGTGGAGGACAGGGTTTGTTTCACCGTACACTTTTAGTCCTGCATGAAGAGAACAGGACAGGAACTGAAGCAGAAGCTATGGAGGAAAGTAGCTTCCTGGGTTGCACCTCATGGCTTGTCCACCCTGCTTTCTTTCTTTCTTAATCTTTTTAATCTTTATTTTTATGTGTATGGTTATTTTGCCTGCATGTATGTCTGTGTACTATGTGTATTCAGTGCCTACAGAGACCAGAAGAGGATGTAGATCCTTCTAGGACTGGAGTTACAGATGGCTATGAACTGTCATGTAGGTGCTGGGGACTGAACTCAGGTCCTATAGAAGAGCAACCAGTGCTGTTAACCAATGATCCATCTCTATCTATGCTGTCTTATACCATCTAGGACCACCAGCCCAGGGATGGTATTACCTCTAGAGAGCTTGGCCCTCCCATACCAATGATTAATAAAGAAAATACCCTACCAACTTGCCTATAGGCAATCTGATGGGGGGGGGGGATTCCTCAATTGAGATTCTCTTTTCTCAGATAACTAGCTTGTGTCAAGTTGACAAGAAACCAACCAGGACAGGGGTTGATGTCCTGACACTCACGTCTTCCTGTTGAGAGGCTGTGTGGGGCAACATCAGGGGGTGTAAGGTGATGTGGCCAAGCCCTGGGACTGTTCTTTCCTGCAGCCTCGCTGGTGTACCGCCTTCCCTGGTCGTGGGTAGGGCCCAAACTGCCCTGGAAAGTTCTCCATGCAGCACTGCACCTGCTGGCCTTCACCCTCACTGTTTTGGGGTTGGTTGCCGTCTTTCGGTTCCACAACCATTCAAAAATCACACACCTCTACTCCCTGCATAGCTGGCTGGGCATCACCACCGTCATCCTCTTCGCCTTCCAGGTAGGTGCCCTCTGCCCTCTCCTTTTGAGTCCCTTTGGGCACCATGGGCTCTGGGTGTGGCTTCACTAGCCTTAGCTCCAAATATTCGTTCTGCCCTTTGCCTGGAGAGGGCCTCATATCCTGTAGACTCAGCTATTTAAGTGGCCGTGAGTTGGGGCTCCTACTCTTATCTTGTTCCTTACACCTGTTACACTGCCCATCTGTCCTGACTCTGTCAGCCCACATGGCATGCTGACTCAATGCCCCTCTTTTCTGCTTTCTCCACTCTTCCCTCTTTGAACCAAAGCAGTTCTAAAAATGATTTCAGTATTCCAGTGCCAGTCCTTTGCTGGAATTGTTTATGAACCAGGACTGGCAGGAATTCAGTGCTAACAAAGATGACTAGGTTTATTGAGTGTATTATTGCAAGGCCTTCACACACAAGTTGCTAGTTGCTTTCACACACTTGTGTAATAGAAATGGGCAGATCGCAGAGAGGCATGGTGTGTGGTTGGGGCTGTGCATGGTGGGAATGTTTGAGTCAAAAAAGAAGGGACAGAAAACAGTGGCCAGCAGGAGTGATAGCTGTGATATGGGGGGCGGGTATGTGGGATAGTGGTAGATGGGTACAACTGTAGTCAACTATTCCCTTGTGTCCACAGTGGTCCATGGGCTTTGCCATCTTTCTCCTGCCCTGGGCATCTCAGTGGCTGCGAAGCCTCCTGAAACCTGTGCACGTCTTCTTTGGAGCCTGCATCCTTGCCCTATCCATCACGTCTGTTATTTCCGGCATCAATGAGAAGCTGTTCTTTGTTTTGTAAGTTCTAAGGGGCCTCTAGCACTAAGGCATATGGAAGGGAGTAGGGGCTTCAGGAGATGCATCCTATAACCACAGGACTCAGCTAGCAGAGGCCAGCCTCTGGGCTTGAGTCCATTCTGATCTCATGGAAGGTGACAGTCTTTAGGTTGAAAGTGGTAGGTAACCTGGCAATACTTACTGAGCATCAAGTGATATAGCACCTACTGTTTGTCAGAAACTGCTCAAAGCACCTCACCTTTAATCCTCTTAAGCACCTACAACATCTGGTACTGTTGTCACACAAGAGTGTAATGAGCTAGCCATGGTGGTGCCTGCCTTTAAAACTAGCACCACAGGTGGGCAGATCTCTGTGAGTTCAAGGCCAGCTTGGTCTGTATAGTGAGTTCAAGCCAGGCAGGTCTCCATTGTAAGACTGTTAAAAAAATGTGTAGTGAGGCACAGAGTAACTTACCTAAGCACACACAGCCAGTAAATGGCAGAAGTGGGAACTGAGTTAGGCAGTCTGCCTGCAGAGCCTGTCTGTCTATCTGTCTCATCACTGTTGTCCTGGGTTCTGAGGCAGTATGGTAAAGTGAACAGCAAATGAGATTGGAAATCAGCCCTGGATTTAGATCTTGGTTGTCATATGTACTAATTATGTAAATGTGGGCCAGTTCATTTCACTAGGATCTTCATTTGCTCATGGGTAAAGCACTACAAAGTTCCTGCCAGCCGTTACGGGCAGGACTTAGGAAGTATATATTATTTCTGGGTCATAGGAATCCAGTCTCCTGCTAGGCAAAAAAACCAACCAACCAAACAAACAAACAAGTTAGAAAATTCTCTCAAAGGCCCATATTATTTTGTCATTTTCAGGAAAAATGCCACCAAGCCCTACTCCAGCCTGCCTAGTGAGGCAGTCTTTGCCAACAGCACCGGGCTCTTGGTGGTGGCTTTTGGCCTACTGGTTCTCTATGTTCTTCTGGCTTCACCATGGAAGCGTCCAGATCCAGGAGCTCTGACTGACAGACAGGTATGGTTACTTGTCTCCCATTCTAGGTGGGGTAAGGCCACGTCTAGAGAAGGGCCCAGGACGGACTTGCAGCTTGCTGAGAAGACTGACCCTGTACTGTAGCCTGGTGGGAAGCCAAGCAGTTTGAAGGTGGAGACTGAGCGGCAGACGGGGACTCTGGCATCAGTGCAGCCGAGCCTGGGAGGGACTTCCTAGGCTTCCCCTCCCCTGCAAGAGTCCGTGGCTTTGTGAGATGACCCGTGCGTGCGTGAGTGCGTGCGTGCGTGCGTGCGTGTGAGGCCTCCAGCCTGGTGGAGTTCTGCCAGCTCTGTGGCTAGACTTGTGGGCTCAGCGACACATCAGGTGCTGAGGGCAGCAGGGCTTGCCTGTTCTTGGCCACTGAGGCTTCTGGCAGCTGTGGGCAGCTGTGCTGTGAACCAGTCTCGGGGACTCGGGGGCTTCCCTGAAGATCTGGTGGCTTGGCTGGGTTCCCCCTGCAGGGTGAGGGTCTGTCTGAGCAGCTCAGGCCTGGTGAAGCTCCTGAAGCTCAGGGGCTCCTTCACGGTCACATCTTTAATCCCTGTGCATCTTCCTTCTTTCCAGCCCCTGTTGCAGGACAGGGAGTGAAGCGGGCGGGGCTCCCGGGAGCAGGCGGCGGCGGCGCAGTCTCTGCTCCTCAGAAGCTCTTCTGTACTTGGGGCTCCTGGCTGGTTTCAGCAACAGACTTCTCTTGGGCCGGAGACCAAGCTTGCTACACCAGTTCCCGGCTCGCTCTCTCCAGCCATTTGCTGTCCATCTGCTTTTCTTGATGGCTTTGACTTGTTGGCATTTTTTCAAGGGCCTCCTTGCCTTGATCATTCATGTCTCTTCTGCTGGTGTGCAGAATTTGGGCTGCTTTCTCCTCACCACTCCTGGGGATGTGGTAGAAACCAAAGCTGAGGCCCAAATGTGGTCCATACATGCAAGATATAAAGTCTGCTCTCTGTGGGAGCATTTGTCTCGTTAGGCAGGCTTCCTCTGCTGTGTCTTGGATGTGCATTGGGGTGGGCAGAGACGCTGGGAGATAACTGATGGGACAGGAGCAGCAGAGAAGGCTCTGCAGTAGTCGGGTGCCGGTCCCTCGGAGCTGCTCTGTTCACTTGGGTGTGCTGTGTTGCGTGTATTGTGACCACGTGGCTCCCCCTCTTCTAGTTGCTGCTTCAACTGCTGCCTGGATCCCGCCCTTTCCCCGTGACTTACATGCCTGCCCCGCTCAGGCAACCCTATGGGCCCTGGTAAACTGTTCTCCCAAGAACAGACAGCCTGACCCTAGAGTCCCAAGTGATGGGTAACAGAGGTTTCAGTGGCCTTCCTTTCTGTCCCCTTGTGGGCGTGGGCTTTCCTGCCTCCTCTAGTCTCGATCTTCCCTGACAAGGCCCAGCCCACTATGAAACTGAAAACGGCATCATGAAGCAATTTGCTGGACAGAGTCCTGGGAACCACTGCTGCCTTCGAGGTGTTCCTTGTTGAGTACTGGGCGCTTTTGTCCCCACCCCCCATCCCCACCAAGGCCACCCAGCCTCCATGGTATGCCAGAGTGTGTGCTTTGATCTTCTCCTGAAGAGAAACTGGGTAGAGGGAGGAGTCTTGCCCCTCTCCTTTGTATTGGCCTGTGGCACTTCATGCCTTCTCAGATCAGACGGCCAGGTCCCCACTGCAGACCACTGTACTTAGCAGACCCGTAGGAGGAGTCGAGTTCCTGCACTCCCTGCAGATAATGATCAGGCTGAACTTCAACCCTGCTGCCAGAAGTTGGCAGGAGACCTGGCATAGACTTCCTGACCAAATGAAGCCTGCACACCATGGGTATCACTGCTGGGCACATTGGACATGACCACCTCCCGTGGTTTTCTACTTCTTCATGAATCTGATTTTTATTAAATGTGTTTTTAAACATTAAAGGTGTCTTCTTTTGTTCAGACCAGTCTTAAATAAAACCACTCATTTCTCATACTTTGGGAGGTTAGAAGTCCAAGGTGAAGGTGACGACATGGTCTGATGAGGGCCACTCACCACCATCTTCGTACTGTGGCTTCACAAGTCGTCCCCATGCCCTTATAAATAAATGATGGTGTATCCCATTCAGAAGGGTCCCACCCTCACCCCTAATCACTTACAAAGGCCCTATCTCTTTTGTTTTTTTTTTTAAATCTGGTTATCTGGTGTGGGTGTTCATGCTGATCCGTGGAAAGAAATACAGAGCCTTTTCCAGCTGCAGGGTGGATTTGTCTCTATGACTGAACTGCTGTGCCCAGTAAAGGGCCCTTTTATTGTTATAAAGTACACACTTGTAGCGAGTCAATTCCATATACCAAAGTCTTTTATCTAAGCCCCGCCCCCCAGAGGGACAATGCCAAGGGCAAATTCTCAGTAAAGAATACAACAGTGAGCTGGCAGTGGTGGCACACGCCGTTTAATCCCAGCACTCGGGAGGCAGAGCCAGGCGGATCTCTGAGTTGGAGGCCAGCCTGATCTACAGAGTGAGATCTAGGACAGGTACCAAAACTCAGAAACCCTGTCTTGAAAAAAACAGAAACAAAAACAAAACCCAACAAGAATACCACAGTGTTCTGGGTTGTTCTTAAACTAAGTTTGCATAGGCTTTGATCCCCTAGGAAAACTCTCAGATAAGACTTCAAACAGAAGGTACCAGAGATAGGAGGTAGCAGTCACAAAAGGCAGATCAAAGCTAGGTGCTAACGCTCCAGAGTCAAACCAGGTGTAGCTATGTGGGAATTCTCCCCATTTTTTTTTTTTTTTTTGAGATAGTGTCTCACTATGGAGCACTGGCTGTCCTGGAACTTGCTATGTAGACCAAGCTGGCCTCAAACTCAAGAGATCCTCCTGCCTCTGCCTCCTGGAGTGATCAGACTAAAGGGTGTGCCACCAGGCTAGGCTCAAGGCCCCACCTCTTAATTCCATCACATTAGGAATAAAAGTTTTAAGCATAGGAGTTCTATTGAAACACAGAAGTCTTCTTTGCTGACATGACAATATTGAGAGTTTTGGTAATTTACAAAGGTCTCAGGACAGGCTTGACCCTGACAGATGCAGAGAAGGGACAACCAGAAATCCATGATTGTATTTTTTCAAATTGCATGCTACTTAAATTTGTGTGGGTGTCCTTCATAGTGAATGGCTTTGGGACACACACTCCTTTCATTAGGAAAGGGGTGTTCCCTGCCTTAAAGTCTGGAAAACAGGACTCAAAAAGGGGTGGCGGTGGACAGGCAAGTAGGGTGACCTGCTGCTGTCACTCTGCTGGGTGATGGCAGAGTTGGGGTCCACAAGTCCTTGTTTGAGGCCAACCTTTTCCTCTCTGCTGGGCACATGTATCTGTGCATGCTGACGGCCAGATTTGTTGCCAGGGCCTTCTGATGGAGCAGACTGACAGAAGACCCTAGACCCAGAGGCCAGAGAATCCCAGTGCCTAATCTGAAAACACAGATGATGAGGTCCCTTTCTTAGGATGACTCTGGATGGTGACACAGTAGGAGGGGAGTGTGCCTGACACCAATGCTAACACTCGTTCTCTAGAACACCAGACTGCCCAGGATCCTAATCCTCACCTGAGTCTTCACATCCTATCCTTGTGAGATGGTTACCGTTCTGAAAAAAAAAAAAAACAAATCTTATTTTGTGTGTGTAGGCACGCCCGTGCCACAGCACACGTGAAGGCCAAAAGACAACTTTACCTCCTGCCACCTAATGGGATCTGGTGATCAAATTCAAGTTGTTAGGCCTTCAGGCTACTACCCACTGAGCCATCTTGAGGGCCTGAGATGGGTATTATTGAATTTTATAGATCTCAACTGGCTAAATGTGGGCATGAGTTCCCATAGCTGACTTAAAGCAGAACCAGCCTTTACACGGATATGACCTGCCAGTGCCTTGAATCACCTCTCTACAGTGAGGGTGTCATGCCTGGCGTGAGCTGTGTGTGCTGTCTCAGCGCACATCAGGCTTCCCACTGGTCAAGGTACAGGCAATGACTGCTCTAGAGCAGTGGGTCGGGACCCCTTTGGCAAATCTCCAACTCCAAAAAGATTTACATTATGATTCAGAACAGCAGGATTACGGTTATGAAGTAGCAATGAAAATAATTTTATGGTTGGGGTCACCACAACATGAGGAACTACATGAAAGGGTCACAGCATTGAGAAGGTTGAAAACCGGGGGCTGGAGAGATGGCTCAGAGGTTAAGAGCACCGACTGCTCTTCCCGAGGTCCTGAGTTCAATTCCCAGCACCCACATGGTGGCTCACAACCATCTGTAATGAGAGCTGGCACCCTCTCCTGTATACATAATAAATAAATCTTTTTTTAAAAAAAGGTTGAGAACCACTGCCCTAGAGAGACCTTGGGGCTGGTATGACTGCGGCTTCTGAACTATCCCAGAGCCTCAAAACACAGCAAGTACGTTTCTTCTGGGGACCCAACGCCCATGTAATTTCTGAAGAATGGATAGCTGATCTGGTGCAGAGAAGAGCCTTCGTGCCGATCTCTTGTGCACTGGTATGGTGTGTGCTAGACCGGGAAGGGAAGTCCCCACCCACGGAACCAGCCCAGCTGAGAACTCGTCTGGAGCACAGGCGATAAAGTGCCTGCCAAGAGAAGGGTCATGGTCACGGTAACCAGGGCTGAAGTCCCAAAGATGAGGCAGCAGCTTGTGGCTTCCATGGGTTTTATTAGCTTTCTTTCATACACTGGGTATAGGAGGCCTTCCAGAGGAAGAGGCCTTCCAGAGGAAGAGGCCTTCCAGAGGAAGAGGCCTGAAGTCTTGAAACCAAATGGGTACACCCAGTTCGAGGCTGTGTTGTACTCAGGAAAAGCCTTATCACTGACATTCAGAGCTGGCTGGGGTGGGTGAACATGACCTGAGGGACTCCTCTTCCCTGAGGAGGGAAAGGGCGGTCGGTGCTTGCTGGCAGAGCACGGGATCAGCCAGCCAGACACTTGTTTATGTTCATGGAACAGGTCTGGAGGTGCGGTGGAGGATGTCCTGCTCCATGCAGAGGATGGATGCTAGGGTGAGCGAGGGGGAAGGCAAGAGGAAGTAAGGAACGGGGAGGAGCTGAGGAGAAGAGGCAGTCATGCTTTCTGTATCTGTAAGACCTCCAGGATGGCACGGAAGACGGCGGCCACTGCCACCGCTCCAGGGTCCGGCTGATCTAGTCGTGCAGAGCTGATGTAACTAGCTCTTCCAGCACCGGCTTCCATGTTCTTGGTGGCCTCGGCTGCAGCTTCAGCACTCTGAGGAAGTGTGGGAGTAGGCTTAAGTACATGACACCAGGCCTTTCCCTTCCCACTGGGTCCTGAAAATCGGACCCTTGTCCTGTTCTGTCAGCAATCTCTGTACATCCATCCCTCAGTGGAAAGGTCACCTCTTCTCTACTTCTAGCAAAGGCTCCCTATTTGCTGAGCCTCAGCCCAGGTACTAGGCTAGGCTCAATGTATCTCCCTAGCCATAAAACACTTTGAGTTAGGAGTTCATTCCTAATTTACACAGGTGGACATGAAGGTGGGAAAAGCCATGAACTTGCCTAAAGCCATCTAGAAGTTGAAGCTTGGTGCTTCCTTGAATGTCTAGTCGAGCCTCACTCACCTTGACTGCTTTAGTCAGGACTGGGAGGAGACTTGTTCCTGGGCTCTTCCAGGCTTGGAACTCCTGTCCTGCTGCCCACAGAGAATCCAGCTGGACAAGGTCAGAGAGAGGGGGGTTGAGAAGAAGTCCGGCCACTGAGGATAGCTATAGGGTGTGTGGGCTCAAAAGGGGCAAGGGGAGCTACACCCTGAGTACACACCATTGTCCGGTCTCCTGGTGCAGCCTTTCCATACCTGAAAGAATGAGCAAGGTGTGAGGACAGGGCCTGGCTGGGAGCAGGGAGCATCTACCAGCCACCTCTCCAGCACACCCCGGTGTTAAGACACGGGGCCCTTGCTCACCTCTGCATGGCCTCCAGGCCGGCATCCATGGCAGCAGACCAGGCTGAAAGGTCAGTCTTGGCTTTGAGAGGCTGGGCAGCTGCAGTCAGGAACAGGCCATAGAGCTGAGGAGGACCAGAATGCTGAGTACACGGAGCTGGCCAGCACCCAGCCAAACCTGCATCCTTCCCCATCAGTCTGTCCGTCTAGGGCCGGCTTCTACTCACCGCCCCAGATGAGCCTCCCATCTTCTCCAGCAGCAGAACAGACACTTTGGAGAGTACCTGGGCAGGGTTGGCTAGAGCTGGGTCCTCCTTTAGCCAGCCCTGGATGGCTGCAAGTAGAGAGAGAGACAGGTGGCCCTTCAGAGATGCTATCCACTTCCTTTTCTCTCCCTGGCCTCTGCTAGTGTTTTCCTGATTGGTCTTATTTACTGAGAGATGTGCTTTCTGCTTTTCTTTTTTCTCTTCTCTTTCCCATTATCCTAGGTTAGCCTGGAAATCCTCATGAGCCACCATTGCCTGACTGTGCATTTTTGTAACCATGGAGACAGGAGTGGTGCTTGGCTTGAAGTAGATGCTGAATCCATCTATTGATTGATTGACCGAATGACTGACCAACTCACCAACCTACCTATCTCTGTCTGTCTATCTATCTATCTATCTATCTATCTATCTATCTATCTATCTATCTATCCATTATCTATCTATCTATCTATCTATCTATCTATCTATCTATCTATCTATCTATCTATCTATCTATCTA